AGCAGGGGAGGGGCGGAGTTGGGGCGTGGGCGGGGCTGGGGGCGGGGCCCTGTGGAGTGTCCTCCTTTTGGAGGCTCAAAATATGGTAACCCTAGCTATCCCTCCCAGCAGTGGGGAGCGGCAGCTGGGCAAATTCAGGCTGGAAATAAGGGGCACATTTTTAACAGGGAGGGGAATTACCTAGTGGACCGGCTGCAGAGCCATGTGGGGCGTCTGTCTGTAAGAACCGCTCTGGCTCATGCAGACGTTATGGGGCTGGCTGCAGGTAATTGATCATCTCTGGCCTGGATCGCGCAGGAGCGCGATGGTCCCTTGACATCTGTGATCCAGCACTGAGGCCTGTATTCTTAGGGCCAGACTTGCAGGAGAGCGCCATTCAGGCACCGAAACGGCCACCGTCTAACTAAATCCCAGCCAGTCAATGGCTAGATCGGGTTAGCTGGCTCCTGGCGACTTGCCGACACAAGCGAAACTGCTAGAAGCCGGGCTGAAATCGAGGTACGAGCGGCTGTGCCGGAGTTAATGAAATTGGTGCCGAGCGTTTGGGGAAATCTGCCCGTTAACGTGCAGCGAGAAACGTGACCCGTTTTCAGACCCAGGCCCTGTTGTGTTTTGTCTGAGCGGCCTGGATCTCAACCGGCTCCTGGGTGGCCTGACCCAGATATGATCTTATTAGCATGCATGGCCCGGATGTGCAGCGCGTGCATGTGTCTGGCTCGCTTGCCTTGCACGGTGCAAATGCAAGAGAAGGAGCCTTTTGTGCATCCTGCCTGTTCCAATCACTGCTGGCGCTGCATCCCCCCCATTGTCCCCTCGGCATCCCAGAGCCGTCGCGCGCCAAGTCCGATTGTCCCTTTGGAGGATGAGGCAATAGATGTGGGGCTGCGCTGTGGAGAAGGCTGGCATGTCAGGCTGGTGCTAGCTGCCCTCGGGCTCTGGGCGGGGAAACGCTCGGGGACGGGAGCAAAGGTCCTTGGGTTGGGCCGCAGCTGCAAAGCGGAGCTTGTGGGGGCTGGTTTGCCTCGCTCCCCAGCCTGTTTGATCAGGGAATCTGCTGGGGATTAGGCCCCTTTTCTGGCTAGTGATTTGTTCTGTGCTGAAATGGCTTTTCTTAGCTCTTCCCGAGGAGCTGCTAGATAGCCGAGGCTGTAGCAGCGTGAGCTAGAGGCCGGAGCCCTGGATTGGGACTTGGGGTCTGTTCCTGGCTGTGCCACTGACCTTGGGCACGTCACTTCCCCTGCTTGGTGCCTCGGTTTCCCCTCCTGTGTCCTGTGAGCTCTCTAGGGCAGGGACTGTCTCTCCCTGTGTGTCCATGCAGCTGTCTGTTTGCGGGGAGAGTGAGGGAAGCTCTCGCTCTGAACTCCCCCAGGGCTGGAATCGCAGCGGCACCCCCGTCTGCCCTGGAAGTCAGTTGATGCCCGTGTGATTCTCCTGGCTGCTGGCCAAGGGAGTGTTGGCGTCTCTCCTCCAGCGCGAGGGGTTTAGCCCTTGGGGGCTGGCGCACCAGCGGGGCAGGAAGCAAATGTGTAGCCAGTCACTGTTCTGGCTTCTGGAAGCGAATTTACTGCTCCGCCAGTGCCTGTCAGTCCCTACTCGTAGCCCCCTCCTGCTGTCCCCGCACTGGGCACCCCCTCTGCCCCCATCCACAGCCTTGGCAATGCCCCTCAATACCAGCCCGTGCCCCCTACTATCCCACCAGAGCTCCCCCCGCCCCTCAATTCCAACCCACAGAACCCCCCCCTTGCCATCCCAACCCAGGGCTCCCCCTGCTCCTCAATTCCAGCCCATGTCCCCCCACTATCCCAGCCCAGGGCTCCCCCACTCCTCAATTCCAACCCACAGGGCCCCCTCCCCACGCACTATCCCAGCACAAGGCTCCCATCTCATCCCTCAATTCTGACCCACAGCCCCACTGCCTCAGCCCAGGGCTCCCCCTTTCCCTGCCCCTCAGTTCCAGCCTACACGTCCCCTGCCCCACCCCTAGCTATCCCAGCCCAGGGCAGATGCTGCCGAATCATGTGGCTTTGTGATGGAGACGAACGTTCACCAGGAATTGGTCTGAGATTCCCATACTCGTGCCATTTGTGATCGAAAGCAAGGACTGGACCCAGGCTGGCGGGGCTCCTCGCTTGTGCCTTGACCCAGTTCCTGGCAGGAAGGGGTTGGGCCCAGTGTCTGGAATCCCGGGCAGCGCCATGGCTTGTGCTCCCGGCAGCTGTGGACTGGGAGTGGCCATGGGGCAGAGGGCTGTGTGGAGAAGAAAGCGGCTGGTGAGCTGAGACTGACCCCAATGCCAGGCTCCAAACCAACCTCCCCCCCATCTCTGTGGAGCTCCAGCAGCCCTGAGACCCCCGAGGGAGAACTCCCTGGGTGTTCTGTTTGGCCCCCTCACAGGCCTGGGGAGTCAGCAGAGTTACGTAGCCCTACAGGCTTTCTGGGGAAGCTGCTGTAAGTTGGAGCTGCCTTGGGGCTGCTCTGGCTTATGCTGGGGGGCTGCTTTGGCTCCTGCAGTAGCAGTGCAACCCGCTTCCCCCCCACCCCCCGCCTGGTGCTGGATCGCTTGGGGGATGCAGCCTGGAATCTGGCCCCATCTGAAACCGCTTCGCAGATGAAAGGAACGCAGCAAAAATGACACTTCTGCAATGGCCGGTGGAGCGGGGGTTTGGCTGCCTGCACCTGCGGGGCTGACCAGAGAAGAGGAAGGTTGCAGACGCAGAGAGACAGGCTGTGCTGCGGTGGCTGCAGAAGAGGAAGGTGGTCGATGTTGGGGGAGCAGAGGGGGAAGTGTGCAGCTGGCTCTGGGGAGGTGTTGGGTCCTGAGATGTGCTGAGAGGATGTGGGGGATGCGGTTGTGCTGGACACGCTAGGAGGCAGGTTGTGGAGTCCAATGGGTGCAGGGGGGCTGGGACTGGGGGAGTGCTGAGGATTTCCCTGCTATGGGGCTGAATGACAGGGGAGGGCGGTAAATCATCACTTGCCCCTCGGTGTCTGTAAACCAAACCTGAGGCAGCCTCCTCTTGTGGTTAGAGCACAGATCCAGAAGCCGGACTCCTGGGTTCCTTTCCTAGCCACTCGATGTGTGACCGGGGGCCAGCCCCTTCCCCCTCCCTGTGTAGCTCCTCAGGGTCGGGGCTGTGAAGAGATCTGGGATCCAGGGCTGGAAAGATCAAGGGATTCGATGGATGCTGTCTGTCCTCAAGTCCCATCTGGGGCCCATGTCCCAGGGCCTCCTCCCCTTAAGCCACTCCAGTTCCCTTCCCTCCCCTGCCAGCTGACCCGATCTCTGCCCCAGGAGCCAAGGCACCTAGGGCCAGGCTGGAGGGAGCCACTTTTCAGTGGGAGTTCATATACCCCCCCATGCCAGCCTGCATCATTGCCAGGGCCTCCCGCACCACGGCCCTGGCCTCCGCTGCTGGAGCTGAAGGAGTGATGCTGCTGGCAGCAGTAGACTGTTGTCCTGTTGTGGAGCAGCCACTAGAGGGAGACAAGCAGCATGTTGCTGGTGGGGGGCTGAGAACAACTGACTGTTGGGGAGATGGGTGCTCTGGACTTGCTTGGGTGGGGGATGGGGCCAAGGGATATTCCTGGAGGATGGGATCTTGGGGGCGTGGAGAATGGGGCCCCTTGTTTGGGGGCTGTTCACTGTGGAGGGGAATGGGCCCTCTAAAGGAAGTACATGGCAGGCTGTGGCATGGGACCCCCAGGGGATGCATAGGGGGCCTGAGAAGGGGGGGCCAGGATAATGGAGTGAAAGGGGGGATGGGGATGGGGTTCTGGTGGTCCTTGGCAGGGGTTGGGGCCCCTAGAGGCAACCCCAGGAGATGTATTGGGGGGGGGGTTCCTGGGAAGAGGACTGTACTGTGGGGATACAGACCCCTGAGGGGCACAGAGATGGGGGATGGGAGCCCCTGGGCCTCACTGGGCTGAGGGATGAGACGGGCTGTGCTCTGTAGTTCCCTCAGTCACTAACCCCTTCCCCGCCCCCCCCCCGTTCTCTGCAGGACTGTGTGGGGCGCGGGAGGTGCACCTGCCCCCAGGGCCCCTGTTCCGCGTGGAGGGCACGGCCATCTCCATCCCCTGCAGCGTCTCAGAGTACGAGGGCCCCACGCTGCAGCACTTTGAGTGGTTCCTGTACCGCCCGACGGCTCCCGAGATCTCCATCGGCATGATCAGCACCAGGGACCCCAGCTTCCCCTACGCTGTCTTCGGCCCCCGCGTGCAGAGTGGGGAGGTGTCAGTGCAGCGGCTGCGTGGCGATGCCATCGAGTTACGCATCGCCCGGCTGCGGGCCGAGGACGCTGGTGTCTACGAGTGCTACACGCCCACCACCGACTCCATGTACCACGGCAACTACAGCAGCAAGGTGGTGCTGAAAGGTACCTGGGTACTGTGCAGCTTGGGGGACCCCATGCACACCGCCTGGCTCCCAGTTACCCCATTCCAGCTCTGGGGACAAGACAGGGAGGGTGGCTGTAAACCCCCCCTTACAGCCAGCCCCCCTTTTCACCCACCCACCCCAGTGCCAAGATGAATCACTAAAATAAAGATCCCAATTCTCCACTGCCACCCAGACCCGTGTGTCACTTGCACCAGTGGCGAGGGCCGGCCTGCCGGTCACGTGGTGTCTCATACCAAATTTGTGCTGGTGCAAATGAGGCACGAGAAGGTGGGTGGCTGCGGAGCCTCGGCCTGTTATAGTGACTGACCCTGTACCATGGTAGCACCCAAGGGCCAGGCCTAGGGCAGAGCCCCATTGCGCTAGGCGCTGTACAAACGCTCCCTGCCCTCAGTCTGTTGCTTCAGGGAGGATTCTATTTTATGCACGCCCCATAGTCTGGATCATACCAAGTCCTGCCCACTGTGTTAATTACAGCAGCTTTGAGGTTGCTCTAACTTACACTCTGCTACCCAGGGCCCCAGGTGCGCCCTGGACAGTCCCCTGATCTGCCCCCTATGCTAGGACTAGTAACAGCCTGGGGTGGTGGGGGCTGACCTGGTGCTGAAGCCTCTGGCTAGGGTAACGAGCAGCCCTGTTGTCTAGTGTCCGGTGCTCAGGCACTCCGTGCCTGGCTGCATCTAGAACGAGTCTGCACAGACCCTCGCCAGACGACAGTGCTGATTGCCCCACACAGCCCAGCTTGTGCCGCTGGCCCCATGTAAATGGGGAGTGTGAGACTCAGACATACATGGGCCTGGTTCTCAGCCACATTGCGGCTCCTCCGTGCTACCCTGGCAGGGTACCGGGGCCTTAGGGTGGGTGGGAGCAGCCCTCCGTAGAAATCTCCTGCGTGGCAGCTTCCCTGGCCGATGTGGAGTTGCTGGAGAGGCTTGGGGCTTTTTCCTTTCCTGTAAGGGAGCGACTCGTGGGACTCCCCTGCGCCCGCAGGCCAGGAAACGCAGCATGGGCGGCTGAGATAACATCGCCCCTCTGGAGCTCGTCCTTCAGAAAGGGGAACCGGGACGGAGCGTGGGGAACCCCGCAGTTCCTCATACCCTGAGCCTGGCCAGGAGCCAGTGGCACCTTGGGATGTTCCTACTTGGCTGGGCTCTTTGGATTAGCCCACTGGGGTCTGCCCAGGGGCCCAGGGAGCTGCTAAGTGGGAGGGGCTGGGAGATATGCTGCAGCCTTCGCAGAGCAGAACAGGGGATTATTTTTGTGGGGTGAGAGGGGTGTGGGTTGGGGTGTCTGGGGCACAGGAGATCCAGGCATGTCCAGCTGACCAGCCGCTCCCCCGTCCCCCACCTATACCTCTCGCTCTCCCTGCCTGGCATGGGTGGGGTGCGCAATAGGGTCTTTCACCTCAGAGAGGCCCAGGGCTCTGGCTCTATCCGCCCTGGCTCAGCAGCTGCCCTGGGGAGCTGAGTGCTCAGGCCCTAACAGGATCAGGCCCCTTGTGGCTACAACCCAGGGGTCTGCCCAGTGGCGCCCCCTGGGGGGTGAGAGTGGAGTTCGGGCTCTGTGGCCCATTGGGACCTCAGTGCCCTGCAGAGACTGGAGCAGGGGCTAGTGACTGAGCAGCTGGGACTCCCTGCCTGGTGTTGGGGTAGCGCCCACCCCCTGTTTTCACCAGCAGGGGGTGCTGAGGAACCAAAGGGACCAGCTGTTGCTTCAGGGTGTCCTTAGGGCTGCGGGGTTTTCTCTCCCGTCAGTCTGTGGCCTACAGGCATTTATGGCCACGGGGCAGCATCCAAGGGGATTAAAGCTATGGGGGACGGGGGGAGATATCTGACATCAAAGGTAAAGAGCCGTTAGAGCAGGGGAGGACACACGCACACACCTTCCCCTAGTGGTGGAGCAGAGGGGTCGTCCCTGGGTATCTTGATTCCCTAGCTCCAGTGACCAGCAGGACAAGGCCTGGCCAGACCCTGCTCACATCTCTCTCTCTCTCTCCACCCCTGCAGTGATCCCTGACATGCTCGGGGTCTTGGCCCCCACACCCAGGCCCCTTCTGCGAGGCCGCATGGCTGGCACCTCCCCGCTGCAGCTCAGCTTGTCGGAGGGCCAGGAGCTGCAGTTGAGCTGCACGGCCCAGAGCCAGACGCAGCAGCACACCCATCTCTCTGTCTCCTTCGGGGTGTCGGCTCCCGATGCCCCCGTGGGGCGCCAGACGCTGCAGGAGGTGGTCGGGGTGCGGCGTGACTTCGCCGTGGAAGCTGGCGGGCACTTTGCCGAGCGGTACCGGTCTGGGGAGCTCTCTGTGGCCAAGGCAGGCAGCGAACAGTACAAGCTGGCCATCGGGCGGGTGCGCCCGGGAGACGCGGGCACCTACCACTGCACAGTAGGCGAATGGATCCAGGACCCCGACGGCAGCTGGCAGCTGATCGCCGAGAAGCGGGCAGCGCTGGCCCAGGTGACTGTCCAGTCCATCGGTGAGTCCCGGCCTGCTCCGCCCCCAAGCCGCATCCTGTGTCAGTGCTCCCTGGGCTGGGCTTCCATGAGGAGGAGGGCGGTATGGGGCAGCAGGGCATTCGCTGATGCTGTCAGGCAGGGGAGATCGGTCACCGGCCCTGTGAGAACCGCTAGCCCTGTGCCTGTCGGGATCCTGCCTCTTGGTCCGTCCTCACCCACAGGGACCGCATTGCCAGTTGTCTCCCGTCTCGTCAGTCATTCCCTCCAGTGCAAAGTGAGCACAGTCAGAGCAGTCGCGTTTGCACGGTCCCCGTGCAAGTGACCAAGTGGGGCCAGGTGGCAGGGAATTGGACCCTGGGCCTTGAGGGAGCTGGATTCTTTGGTTCCCCTGGCTGGCTTCACAGGCTGACGTTTGTGTGAGGGGCTCAGCAGTTTGGCAGGGAAATATTGTGCCCCACCCCACACACACCCTTCCCCGGGCAGCTTCAAGTGAATGCAGAATTCTCCTTCACCCCCTGCCCCTACCTGCTGTGCAGCATTGCTGTGTGGCTGTTAAACAGCAGCCATGCTCCACCCCAGAGGTGGCTACACGTCAGTGCTGGGTGAAATGATCTCTGGGCATGGGGTCCTTTGAGGCGGGGCAGGGCAGTGCCGACGGGGCTGTGTGGATGCTCTCACTCCCCCGCTCTCTCTTTGGTTCCTTTTCAGCGAGCCAGCTGGCAGTGTCGGCCAGCCCGCCCGAGGTCCGGCTCAGCGCTGGAGACGCCCTGGAGCTTCTTTGCAATCTGTCAGGCCCTGCGGCCCCTGCACCCCACGTGGTGTATGCCGTGAGCTGGGAGGTGGGCGAGGGGGACGGGCTGCTGGTGGCACAGCTGGACACGGATGGAGTGGCCATCGTCGGGGAGAGCTATGCCAACAGCCAGGTGGGCCGGCGCCAAGTCTCGCTGCAGAAGCTGACGCCCGCCCCAGGCTCCTACCGGCTGCGGATCGAGTCGGCCCAGCCAGGGGACGCGGGCACCTACCGCTGCGTGGCCCGGGCCTACGTGCACTTCCCTGATGCCCAGCTGCGGGAGGTGGCCAGCAGCCGGTCACAGGGGCTGAAGGTGCACATGAAATCAGAAGGTACAAGAGTTGGACTGGGTGGGGGGCTGGTGTGCATTTGGGGGACCCCCTTTGCACCCCTACTCCTGCCGTCTGCCCTGTGCCCCCGGCCGTGCTGATTCCTATTGCTCCAACAGGGTGTGATTGGCCTGGGTGTGAGCACCCCACAGCCAGCACTCCTGCCCCGCTCCCTACAGTGCCCCCTGCTGGGGGAGGCCGGGGCTGGAGTATCTAGGAGCTCCCCCATGACTAGTTCTCCTGCCCTGCTCCCTACAGCGCCCCCTTCTGGGGGATGCCTTAAGGGCAACTTTGTGTTGTGTTTTTTAGCTGTTTCCTCCTCTCTGCATTTCCATGTGTGGCCCCAGCCCCTTGGCCTCTGACAGCTTCAGGGTTCAGCCAGTGGGGGGTGTTCGGACCCTGCTGGGCCTGGGGGCTCAGTGTCTGGGCCCTGGGCCGTAGCTCCAGTGCACTAACTCCTGCTGCCCTTGTCTCTCCCCTGCAGCCGTGGTGGTGGAGGCCTACGCGTGGCTGCCCGTCCCCGCCACCTACCGCGGGGACACGGCCGAGCTGCTGTGCAACATCTCGGTGGAGTCGACCCAGGCCGTCCACATGGCCGTCAGCTGGTGGGTGGAGGTGACGTTGGGGGAGGAGGAGCCCCAGGGCCGGATGGTGGCGTCTTTGAGCCGCGAGGGTGTGGCCGAGCTGGGCCGGCGGGCATCAGGCGGGGACATGAGTCTGGACAAGGTGGGGCCGCAGTGCCACCGGCTGCGGCTCCATGGGGTGGAGCCGTCCGACGAAGGGAGGTACCACTGCGCCGTCACCTCCTGGGTGCGCTACCCCGACCGCAGCTGGTACAACGCCGGGGCCGTGAAGTCCAACTCCGTCGCCGTGTATCCCTATGCCCGGGGTGAGTTCTGCGTGCACCGCCCTCCCCCCAGGTGTATCCCTACACCATGGGTGAGTGCCACTGGACACTGCCCATTCCCCGTGTATCCCTACGCCCTGGGTTAGTGCCACTGTGACACACACCCCCCCACACACACACACCCCTACACCCTGGGTGAGTTCTGCATGCACTGGCTCCCCCCGCCCTCCTTCCGTTTATCCCTACGCATGGGTGAGTGCCGCTTGGTACTGCCCGTTCCCCATGTATCCCTACGCCCTGGGTGAGTGCTGCTGTCCCGTCCCCCCCCGTAGTCCTGCGTGAGCATTGGTGCATGCCCCTCTCCCTCTCTCCACCCCCCCCCGCCCGGGGTATCCTTGCTGAGTGCTGCCCCACAGTGCGCCATGGGTCTGTCTGGCCTGCAATCAGCTCTGTGACAGCAGAAGCTGCTGTGGGGCTGGGAGGTGGCTCTGGGCAGGATGGGGCCAGCTCTGTGCCCCCTGCTGGAGGGCGGCCTAGCTAATCCCCCTCCCGCCACCCGGCTTCTCTGCCAGCTCTCTCGGCTGCTTAACGCCCCCTCCAGCGCCAGGTCTGACGGGCCTCTCTGCTCTCCCCTCCAGCCATGGACACCCTGTTCATCCCCCTCATTGTGGGCATTGCCAGCGCCCTCTTCACGGGCATCGCCATCCTCGCCACCATCACCTGCTGCTTTATGAGGCGGCTCCGCAAGAGGTGAAGCGCACGGGAGACTGGCCCCAGGGCGCTGCAGGTGAGTCAGCCTCTGTGCAAGGGACGTGGGTGGGGGAGGGAACTGCTTTACGCCCCTTCACCCGCCCTCTTCTGCTGGGGGGTGCCATAGAGCAAATCCGGGCTCCTCTCTCCCAGGGGCTTTGCTGTGTGCCCAGGTTTTTCTTGGGCAGCAGATTTACTTCCTCCTGGGGCTGGGAGAACTGGCACTGCCAATATGACTCTGTGCGCCCTCTGAAGGGACCGGGGTAGAGAGGATCCGATGGGAAATGCTGCATCCATGATCCTTCTTGGGGCAGCTCTGCTCTATATTGGTGGGGGTTCTTTGATCCCTGACACACAGCAAGACCCCCTGCTCCCCCCCCCCCAACTTGTGCCCAGGTCTGCCACAGTGTGAAGTCCCAGGGGAGCTCCAATCCAGGCCCCCTTGAGCCAAGCTTTCAGGGGGGAGGGGGGGTGAATCAAAAGCAAATAAATGATTTGCATCAAGTGCTGCCCTGGGCCTGTTGTGTTACAGTTTCAGATCACACCACAGGCAATGTTGGAGAAATCGGAGACTAAACAGATTTAGTCTGCGTGTGGACAGGAAGGTGGGTCTGAGTGTCAAAAGCTGGCCCTTAAATTTGTGCGTGTCTGCTGCCCTCTACTGGATGGATTCAGATCTACTCCATTGTGTGTCATAAGCCCCGTACTGCAAACAGCTAATGGAGATTCTCCTTTAGCTTCAGTGGCAGGGTTCTGGGTTCTAACTAGACCTGTTTAGAAATTTTCTCTCAAAATGTCTTTTTGATGGAAAATGTAGTTGCCACAAGACCAAATGTTTCAATGGAAAAACTTTGATTTTCCTGAAACTTTTGGGGGTTTTATCCCAGTCATATAAATCTCAACAAAATACTTTGTTTGGAATCCAGTTCCACCTGAATGGAAACATCTTGGTTTGTTGAACTGAACCAAAATGTTTTGTTCTTTCTTCCAAATCAGTTCAACGTTAAAGTGCATCTTCCCATGTTGCCTCATGGGAGTTGTAGTTCAGCCACAGAGTCCGCCCAGAGGGAAGAATGGGGGTGTGAGGCACCTGAACTACAACTCCCATGAGGCACCGCGGTGGTATAGGAAGATGCCGTTGACTATTGAACTGATCTGAAACGCAACGTTTTGCCATTTCTTTGAACTTCTGTGAAAAACTTCAATATTTTGACCTCTTGATTCAGGACCAAACACAGTTGAACTATTAGTATTTCCCAGGGGACTAAATCTTTTTCCCTGCACAGGTCTCAGTCTAACCCAACTGGCCACGGTTCTTTGGGGTTTCATTGTCCAGCTGCCCCCTGATCCCACTCTCTATCTCTCTCTTTGCAGGTGCCTGCTCCATCTCGCTCTCCTGCCAGCCTTCACTCAAGTCACTGGGCTCCCTTTTTCCCCTCCACTTGTGACTTTTGACCTCTCACCTCCATGGACCGGCTTGGGCAGCATTTCAGCTCCTCGGACTGCACACTGGCTTCTTCCTTCATTTGAGTCATTCCATTTTTTTTTTTCTAAACTCAACCCAGATCCAGACAAGCCCCTGGTGGGAGATGGGAGACCCTGGGTCCTGCATCAGGGCCAAACGTTGCCAAGAAGTCGATGCGTCCGTCTGAGACATCCAGGCTGGAGAGGTCCCTCTCCGGAGGACATGAGGGACAGTGGCACTGCCTCATCTGCTCCTGGACTCACTGCTTCCCTGATCCTTCCCTACCTTGTCTCTGTGCCCCAGGGTGGGAGCGTGGGGGCTGCTTTTCCCTCTGCTGCCAGCATCTCTACATCCTCTACCCCCTCTGTCTGTAACCTGTTCTCTCCTCCCCTCTCTCATGTGTTTGGCTCGGTGAGGGCTGTCCTGTGGATCTAGACATGTGTGGACTCTGCCCCTGCAGTGTGTGCAGAGAAAGGGTGTATCATTCCCTAGGGGAGGGGCCCAGTGGCTCTGCTCTGGAGAATCTGAGACTTGATCTACCGGAGATCTCAGAGTCAGTAACGTGTTTGTAGCCGATAACGTGGACAACAGCCTGCTACCGCTGCCAGCTGAGGGAATTCCTCCTCTAGCCGGAGCAGTAGAGCCTTGTGCTTTAGAGCTGAAGGTCCTGGGTGCAAACCCTGCTGATGACCCATGCTGGGGTCATGATTGGGTGACCTCAGGTGACCTGAGAGAGGGGAGGGGTCTGCTTTTGTGTAAGAAAAGAAAGGGACTCTAATGCCAAAGGATGGGGGCTCAGGCCTTCCTTGGCCCCCCCCCTCTCCCTTTGGGGTTTTAATTGCACCCCAGCTCTGCCTTCAGGAACAGCCGAGTACTCTACCAGTGGCTGGACCTGTCCCCAGAGCGGTCCCTTTGCAGCCAACGGGCCGGATCCTGCCATATCCCTCGTGCTCACTGCACCTGTGCTCTCAGGCTGATCTGATGGCATTTTACACTGACTGCGAGAAATCCTGGCCCCCCTGAAGTCAATGGAAAACCCCCCATGATCTGCAGTGGGGCCCGGATTCCAGCTGTGGTGTAAACAAGGCAGAATCAGACTCGGGTGTTTCTGTTAAAGGGACACACGTAGCGATGGCCACGGAGTTCGGGTTTGTTAAATAGATCCTAAAACCGGATATCGGTGGAGATGGGCTAAAACAACTGGTGGCAGGTTTTTAATGAAACCTTCCCCCAGGTCCCTGCACAAGGGAAAGTGCCGAAGCTGGCAAGAGACGTGCTTGTCCTTTAGCCTCCCGGGTGCTGGGGAGTTACCTAGAACGCCGGGCTTTAGAAAAAGAGCAGTTGGTTTTGATGATGTGGTTTTAATGTAACAGGCACACGACAGCCAGGCTTTTCCAAAGTTGCCTGGAATGTTGCTGTTCAAACCAGGGCAATCGGCCGTGCACGCTCCTGACACGGTTTAGAAAAACCTCTGCCCACGTAATGGTCATTCGTGTGACCGGTCTTGGCACAATGGGGGGTTCCCCCACATTACGAGCACAGAATAGCATGGGTTGGGGAAATAACATGTTTAGACAGATAAGCACTATATAGCGACAGCCACTGTACATAGGTGTATAAATTATTAGTCTCTTTTTAGAGATATAGGATCAGATCCTTATCTGGTGTAAATCAACATAGCTCCTTCAAAGGGACCCCACTTGGCAGGATCGAATCCTTGCTTCAAAGGGCCGAGCTGCCTGGCCCTGGTGCAGCAAAGCCCTTAAGCATCTTCTTAACTCGAAATCGGCCACTTGTTCCATTGAAGTAAATGGGAGTGCTCCTGTGATTACAGTTAAGCACGCGCTTTGCTGAATGAGGGTCTCTAACCCCAGCAGGGGGTCTGATCCTCTCTACACACATCACTATACCGAGATCTAGATCTATTTAGTAATGACGGTGTGGTGTAAAATCCCTAGAGATCATCCCAAACCTTTAGAACTGTGTTATGTTGCAGATTAGAGAGGGGATCCGTTTTCTGAAGCTCAGGGTCGATGTGGAATGTTTCCAGAAAGTCTGTTTTTAAACATTTCCTTTTTGGCGCTCTTGCTAAATTGGGTAGTAACCCAGCCTGGGGACAAACTTGGGTGGTGCGGGAGGGGTTAATGCCTGATTTTTTTATTTTTTTCCCCCAGCTCTGGAGAGCGCGGTTCAGGTTTGGTTTAAGTCACAAAGCCGCGCACAATTTAGGTTGCCCGACTGTTCAGGGGAGTGGAACGGGGGAGGGGTTAACGGGTCGGGGTTCATGTTTGCAAACCCCACAGCCGTGCTAGGCCTCTTGCCTTCAGGTTTAGTTACTGATGATTCCTGCAGACCCCAAGTCTCTCCGGTGGATCTAATCTGTTGCCATGGAAATCCTGGCTCATGTTGGGAGCAGGGCAAGGGGGTGGGGGGATTGGACTCATTTTTCATTAATGTGATGTCATAAGGAGGTTCCCACCCTAGTAAAGAGAATTTCCTTGTATTGTTCTCCAGGACCTGCCTATAACTCCACAGCACTGCACAATGGCCTTCTGGGCACAGGGCTGGAATAGATGGGGCAGTGGGGGGAACCCCCTGTGGGGAAGCCAGGGCCCCCCTGGTGGGGTTGCCAATTGTCTAATCACACAAACCCTTGCCCCGCCTCTTCTCCGAGGCCCCACCCCGTTCACTCCATGCTCCCTCCCTCTGTCACTCACTCACTTTCACCAGGCTAGGGCACGGACTTGGGATGCAGGCTCTGGGAGGGAGTGTGAGAGGGGGCTCCAGGCTGAGCCTGGGGCAGGGAGTGGGGATGCATGAGGGGGTGTGGGGTACAAGCACTGGGAGAGAGTTTGGGGGGACGGGCAGGAGGGGGTGTGGCTCAGGGCTGGGGCAGGGGATGGCGGTGCAGGAGGGAGTGAGGGGGACGGGCTCCGGATGGCTGGCACCTCGGGTGGCTCCCGGGTGGCAGCATAGCAGGGCTAAGGCAGGCTCCCTTCCTGCCCTGGCTCTGCTCCATTCCCAGACGCGGCCAGCCTAGCCCCGGTGAAATGGATTCAAGCCCGGAGGTTTCACTCGCTGCCCAAAGTCACTTGCAATTTCCTGGTTTAATGAGGCTTCCTGTAACACGCTGGGATGGGGAATCCGAAGGAGGGCACTTTGTTGAGTGGTTAAAGCTGGAGACTCCTGGAGTGGCCTGGGGCGAGTGTCAGAAAAGCCCCCCGTGTCTGTTTTTTCCCCCATTGTCACTGTAAGATGGGCTGATCGGAACCTGGAAGGGGGATGCTGTGAGGTGGGAGCCATCAGTGTCTGTGTTCTGGGCTGCATCAGCATAAGGAATCACTGCCTGGCTGCACTGGGGCAGTTTTCAGGTACTGTAGAAAGCCCACCTTGGTGAAGTTCCCTAGCACGTCTGCCCGGCCCCAGCCTCCTCCGGATCCTGGCAGGGCTCGTCCTAGTTATTGCCCTGGGAAAGGTGCCCCTCTGCTTGCTCCCAGCCACAGGCAGAGAGGGGTATCAGGACAGACCTTTGACCCCATCCCCCGTGGGTCTGAGGACTTTGTCTCCCTCTGGATTGAAACGGGACCTGGCACGATAGCGCAATTGGGGCCAGCTGGGCTGTGACCCATGTGCCTGTGTGGAGTCTCATAGTGGCAGAGTTTGCCCATGTGGCTCTGACGGTAGGATCGGGGCCATGGCATAGAGGGTTTTGAATCTCCCTCCCCCTCCCTTCATTGTTTGCTTGGGAGGTAGGTTCAGCTTCAAGCCTGATCATGCAGCGGTTTGTAATTTTGTGTGTAGGCAAACAATGAAACTTTGTCTTCGGGGAGCAGCCCAGGGTCAAGCCAAAATCTGCCCGCAGAGCTTCAGACCAGGAAAACCTAAAAGGGAAAAAATCCTATATCGCAAAGGGCTGGCTCGGCCGGGCAGTGGGTGAAGCCTCACATGGTAGAAATGGAAAGACTTGAACAATCCAAACAGCAATTCCACTGCGCAGGCAGATTGCGGCCGGCCTGAGCCTCACATTTCCCTCCATCAGTGAAGTTTACGCATGCCAATTTCACCTGTGGTGCTAATCAGTTTCACTTTCAGGTTGTCTCTGGTGCAGCTTTGGGCACTCTGGGTGTGCGGGGAAGGGGGGTGGGGGTAGGAGAATTGCGAATTGCATTCCATTCCCCACAAATCAGAAGATTGGCTTTAAAATCATGACATTTTAAAAATAATAAAACAATACATTTAGGTTCTTTCTCTTTGCGTCTTGGTGTGAGCCTTTTAGAGTCACGTTTTCCGGTTTTTCTCCCTGCTTACAAGGACTGGAAACATCCTTATTTTCAAAACCAGTCTCAGGGAGGATGGTCTCTGTCTCAGGCAAGCTGGGGCTTTAAGCACTAGCTATCGCAAGGGTTTACAATGGAGGAGGAGGGGAGGGGATGTTTGATTTGTTTTAAAGATGTCTAGGCTTTATTCATAGATTCGAAGGCCGGAAGGGATCATTGTGCTCATCTCGGCTGGCCTCCTGCATAGCACAGGCCTAGAGCCGAGCTTTGAGAAAAACCTCCAATCTTGATGTAAAAATTGCCGGTAATGGAGAATGCACCACGACCCTTGGCACATTCATCCGTTTCTTCTCTCGCACCTGTGTAAACCTGGCGCCGCTCCAGTGGAGTCACGCCAGCATGAATGAGGTTGGGACTGGGCCCAAAGCAGTTCAACTCAAGCCATGGAGAGATTTCGAACGACTGTACAGAAGCAGAGGGCTGCTGCTCTGCCACCCCATGCCCCGTTTACACGGACTAGTTCACAGTGGGTAGGGAAACGCTACCGCCGTGACCTGGGAGTGTCTTACTCTGGTGAAAGTGACTACACCAGGTGCAAGGCAATGGAGACTGGATAGGATTTCGATCTCCCAATCTCATTTCAGTCCAGTGGTACTTAGACCCCTGGGAACTCCACCTGCCGAGATCTTCAGGATCACGTTGGCGCTGACAGGACTCTTCTACTGACAGGCGCAACCTACTCCGAGCGGGAGCCCTGGGGTTGCATTGAATTGCTCCCATAGCGAATTGTATCCCTGAGCCCCCGACCTGTCCATTCCCAGGACGCTGGCCAAACCCCCTCGGCCCTGACCTCGTGCGCTCTGCTTTGTAACACTCTGTTTTCTAGTCAGCGAATGACCCTGTCCCAGCAGGGGTGGGTGGCAAGGAGATGCCAATGGGGCTCAGTGATCCCTGGCTCCCAGCCTCTGCCTTTGGGGGGAGGGATAGCTCAGTGGTTTGAGCATTGGCCTGCTAAACCCAGAGTTGTGAGCTCAATCCTTGAGGGGGCCAATTAGAGATCTGGAGCAAAAATCTATCTGGGAATTGGTCCTGTTTTGAGCAGGGGGTTGGACTAGATGACCTCCTAACTCTGGTATTCTATGAGTCTAAGATACCAGGCAAGGTCACTGAGGAGAGGGCTGGGTCCCTCCCCATGCCTGCTCCCTCTGGTGTGCTAGGGCGTGAGCAGGCAGGGTGGGGGCAGTTCATTTTAGGCTTTTTATTTCCCCTTTGGATTTGGGGGGAATTTCAGTTTATTTTATACTTTTCCCTGGAGCGGGTGGGGTTGTTTCCCCTTAATTACCGCACTAACCCGTGTCACAGCTGTCTGCCCCCTCGCTCCTGGAAGCCAGTGAGTGTCGGGTGGGGGCTCACTCCAAGGGCACTAACCGGCAGCTCCAGGGGGGGGGCGATAAAGCGCAAAAGGGGCATGGAGCCCGAGCTACCCAGCTGGGCCTACTTACACCTCTGACCTAGGCCTGCTGTGGAGGGAGTTCATGTGTTTCTCTGTGCGGGGAGTGGGAGGGTTGGAACTTGCCCAGGCTGTGACTGCAGTGGGGACTTGTCCCAGCCTGGGGTGGGTCTGACTGGGGAGGGTCCCCTGTAATTCCTTCCCTGCTAGCCCTGGGGATCATGCCACCCTCTGGGATCATTAGCCCCCCCGTCTGCTGGAAGAGGCCATTGCATCTTTGGAGCTGCCAGTAGCACCCCAGGCCCCCACTTCTGACCCTGGAAGCTCTCTGCTCCCGGCTCAACTTGTTGAGCTTTGCGCTGCCCCGGCCCTGAGAAGCTGGAGTCACCCCCTGCAGGGCACTCGGCAAAGAGCAATGGGGATGGTCAGGGGGCTGGAGGATTGATGGGGGGTGGAAGGGCCAAACCTGCCCACCCTTGAAAGGCCTAATGTCAAGAGGGGGGGGTGGGGCAGCAGGATCTGCGTGCACCGGGTGGGGCAGGGGCATGGGGAAAGACAAAGATAGGGGGAACTGTGTCCCCATAAAGTGGAGGGGGTCTCCCCAGGGCCGGTGGGATGCGCCCTGGGGGCTGAACCTGCCCCAGAGGAGGAAGAGGAGCTGAATATGGTGGGTAGGTCTGTGTCAGCTCTGTGCGTCGGGCAGCAGTGGGGGATGCAGAGAGGACACCCCTGCGACTCAGGCCCAGCAGTGGCAGGTGGCGTAGACCCGGATGCCTACGTGGGCACGAATGGATTTGGATGCAGGGCGAAAGGTTGTGCAGGCAGGAGAGGACGGGAACTGGTGCCCACACAGCTGAGGCCTCCCAAGGCCAGCTTGGGAGAATCCCGGGGGGGCAGGGGGTTGATTTTTCCAGGCAGGGATGGGGGGAGGTTGGGATGCAGCCTGGACTCTGCTGTTTTGTGTGTGCTTTTCTGCCGGCAGTGACACACCTTGTGCTGCCCCATTAAAGCTGGATTTTCAGGCTTGGGCCTTGGTGCATTTTAATCATTGGTCAGTTTCCTCCTGGTTATCCCCTGCCCCACCCAGCTTTGCTGTCCACACTGGAGAGGCAGCAGAGAGAGGGGTGGCAGTGGGCCAGCGCCCTGGGCTAGGAGTCACCATGCCCTGGGCATCTAGGCCTGTCTCCACCACTGCCTTGCTCTAGGGCCCTGGGTACGTCCCTTCCTCTCACAGATATGGACAGTGCAGCCATGAATCGCCCTAGCACAGAGTGCTGCAGCCCCACCCCTATTTCCATCCTGCCCTGCCATGGCCCCTGCAGCAGGGCTGGTGAGGCGGGCAGGGCTGCTGCAGCAATTCCCAGCCTTGGGGAGTGAGTGGTCCCTATAGGCCAACAGCACAGGGCCTGGGGTCCCTCTTAGAGGAAGGTTAGCCTGGCCACCAGTGCCCTGAACTATGAGCCAGTATGACTGGGCTTCAGCTCCCACCTCTGCCAGAGGCTTCCTGGGCAACCTCAGGCAGCGTCTGTGATTCCTGCCTCAGTTTCCCCATCTGTACATGGGAATAATAACTAACTCTGAGGCATGGCTGGAGGGTGAATTGGTGCCTGAGACAGAGGCGCTCAGCTGGCGTGGTGATATAGGCCTCTAGATCAGAAGTTCTCAAACTCTGCTCCGAAGCCAACAGTGGTCTGTGAGCTCCATTCAGGTGGTCCATGGATAGTTCCCTCTAAGGTGCGTGCCTGGGCGGCTGCACACAAAAGAATGAAGGGCCACCCACC